ATGCGATCACTGAAACAATGCATTTAATGGCCTGACATGTTAGATTGTCACTCAAAGCATCATCAGAAACAGTCGCAAAAAGGGTAGTGGTGGCACAAGCAGTGCATCATTTATAGCGCGTGGCTTTCCTGGGACCCTTTACGTACTGTGATTCACAGCGGTGTCATAAGTTATATGATGGGGGCTTGTCAGTCCGAGTCCGAGTCGTTACTTGCCAGTATTTCGTCATTCAGATGTTAACTATAAAGAACACGGATGCGGCAGATGAACGAATATGCTAATCAGGAAGAAGCCAGGTCTTCTGGAGAGACAACGAACAGAGGCACCTATGGGACTGCCTTAAAGCGAGTCTTCAGTATCTGTTTTTCGTATAGAAAAATGTATTTATGCATTATTGTTTAAGGACTAATTTTTGTATTAACGAAATATTTCAAAAGACGAGTTCTTTTCAAAAACAAGGTTCTTATCTTGACAAACATTGAACATATGAAATAATGACCTTTTTATGAGGTTCCTTAGTCCAAAGTTCCTACAACCATCTTGATTAAGACATTCACATAAAACCCATTTTTATTAAATGAAGATCTACTGAAAAAGAGATTATTTGTACTACATTCATGAAACTATTATTTGATCTTAGTAAATTTCGTCTCGAAACGCCCGTGAACGATGAAACCAAGGCAGTGAAAGGATCCGCCTGGAAAATAATCTAACAATTATTGGACATAAAATCTGATAGATTAAAAAAACTCGCAATCCTTGAAACCGAGGGGCACATATATCCCAGAATATATGGATTGCCAAAGACGCATAAAAAGGACATACCTCTATTACCAAATCTGTCTATATTTAATTCACCCCAACACAGACTTGCTCAACGGCTTGTCAGGGAATTAAAGCCAATGCGACACCTTTCTCAACTTGCACAATAAAAAGATTGTTTCCATTTTATTAAAAAAATAAAGCATCAGAACATTTCCAACAAAACTATGATATTCTTGGACGTTGCATCACTATTCACAAATGGAAACCCTTTTAACATAAATTCAAAAACTTGTTTATTACATTCGTCGTCTACGTTCATATCACACATCCCAGTCCTTAATCTGTCGATTCATAGATGGCTGTATTCGTCACCTCATTCTTTTTGTTCTCCAATTATTTTTCCAGCCTTACTTAAAAAAGATCTAATTATTTTTAAACGTGTCATTCGAATGCTTGCCTCTGATGTTGGTGTTCCCTATCATATTTAAGTTGATATCATCGTGCAGCGACACTTCAAATCGGTGGAGCAATTCGCTGACCGAATTCTGAAAGACACCGTCCATCCCCTTCATAATGAGTTAATGGCTGCGAAATCCTTACACCCCATGCGTCGATGCTTCCGCAACATCCCTTGCCGGACTTCGGCTTATCAAAATTCCATTCTGTCATTTCTAGCCCAGTATCTCACCTGAAAAGATGCTGAAAAACAAAAACTAAAACTCGATCTTGCACCTTAAAGTACTTTTTTCTTCATATATAATTATATCCACCTGTCCAATACCTGTTATTATCTATGGTAATCACTGTGTACTAGACAACCGTTTTTGCTGATAGTTTCGAAAGTTATTTTCAAAATAAATCACTCCTCTCTCTTTGTGGAAAAGATATGTAAACGACATTTTGCTATTGTTCATAACGACGATGAAGCCGAAGACTTAATTCTTCCCAAGAACAGTCTCCATCCTAAGGCGAAATTCGAAAAGTACCAGTGCAACAAGCTTTTTTCCCTGGATGTCCTCATGAATAGACCGGCAGATGGTTTATTAAGGCGATCTGTTTCCCAGGAAGATACATGGAAAGGCCAATACTTGCACTTCTTTAGCTTTGTGCCGATAAAACAAAAGGAAAATTTGGTTAGTACTCTATTCCAAGGAGCAAGACACATTTGGTATATTAAAACGCTTGATAATAAAATTATTGCTTACAAAAAACCCTGCCTTAAAAAAAATATCCAGCACAAATTCATCGAAAAGTACACCAAACGTTACGGCCAAAATACGAACGGACAGCGCGTTTCGAATTTGGTTTCAAATGTTCGCTCTCCGAGGAATTTAGTTACTTCGAGATTTGGACTTACTGTACGCTCTTAGAGCTTGCCGGAATTTAGACTTGAATTCGACTCATCAATATCTTCCTCCCAACTAGTCTCCTGCAGCACATTGCCAGAACTCCGATTTCGGCCTTCCTCGTTTCTCATACTTGCAAGCCCAGAAAGTCGGATAATCTGAAGAACAATTTATCCAAAGTTTCTACAAAGGCTGAGTCGCTTTTCTACTTTTAGACATTGTTTCATCATCGCCTCAAAGTATTTGTCTAAATTTTTGCTCTCGGAAGCTTCTCGACCATACCTTCCCATTCAGCTAATGAAGTTACTATCTACCGAAAGATCGTCATAAAGACCTTTCCTTCATACTTAAGTCTACGCTCTTTGTGTATATAGAAAAGTTATCCAGAATGTTGGAGTCTGCACTAGTGTTCCAAAGTAACGCGCACTTGGGATTTGAACCGGGGACCTCAAAACTTAGGGCTCGCTCCGCTAACCCCTACACCACCGACGCACGGCTGGGCAGCTCAGTTAAAAGCTTTGTTAATTCGTCACCGCAGGATCTGGTAGAATATTCATGTAATGGTTGTCAAACGATAGCCTACAAGATGCATCAACTAGAGGAAGAAGTAAGAAATCTGAAGGAACTTATACACAAGACTGTTCCTTCAGAGGACCGCCCGGTGTTATCTACGCAGAGGCTAACTCGGAGTAGAGCGAGAGCCATCCAGCGTAAGGAATCCCCAGAAAGCAATTCTGGGGTGAACAAGACAACTACTATTAGTAATCAAGTCGTGGCTTCCGATGAAAAAAAGAATAAGAGGAAGAAGACGACACTTAACACCACAGGGAAAAGTCGCCAGAATACGAATGAGAGTATATTAGCCTTACCCGAAAAGCGGTTGGAAAATGAAACGAATGTAAATGTGCCAACGGAAGAAGTGGAAATAATGGGGCAGATGACGCCCAATCTTAATAATTCCCAGACAGTGTTCTCATTTCCTGAGCCTAACTTAGAGGGATTATCAGTTAGCGCAAAGACATATGGCTATGGACCCAGGGTGGAATTAGCTGCCACCGCAAATTCCCATGTCAACAGAGTCAAGAACCGAGCTGAGGAAGCCTCTAATTCATGGGGGTCAAGCTCTTCACAGAGCCCTCTGATGGGGGGTATTGTTGATAGATCCCAGTGTGCAACTATTCACGATGCCTTAACAGGATCCGCGGACGAACTTCACGGGGACATAAATACCAATATGGCAGCTCCTTCCTCTTCTCCAGTCCACTTTGACGAGGCAATAGGGCCAGCCAACGACGTCCAAATCGCAGAAAACAGAGGAATGCTTAACAAGGACCACTGTGTCATAATTCAGGGCCTCGCAGAGTCCTCCGCCAGTTCCCCCAGGGAACGAATCGCTGCTGACTTAGAGCAATTCCAGAAACTCCTCAATGAAATGCTGCAACCAACAGAAGATGTCACAGTCCTAAAGGCGTTTCGTCTTGGTAGCCGTACAAATGCCGCTCCGAAGACGCGACCACGACCCCTAAAAATCGTCCTTGGTAGCAATGAGCAGGCGAAACTAATACTTTCCAGGCGTTTTAGATTGAAGCATTCCCATAAAGGAGTGTTTTTTCAGCCGGACTACTCACCTGCCGAGAGAATGAAACGCCGCGAACTTGTCCTAGAATTGAGAACACGGCAAACCAACGGAGAGAAATACTTGACAATCTACAAAGACCGGATTGTCAAACAACATTCCGCTCCCCTCTGGATCAGGCCGATCCGAATGACTGCACAGCTACCCCAGTAGCCCGTGTCGGGTTGGAAAACAAATCTCGCATGAACTCGAAACTCATATTCATGTATACCAACGCGCAAAGTGTACTTTCTAAACTGGACGAACTCCGTATCCATACCTACGACCTCCATCCAGACATTATCTCAATAACAGAAACATGGTTGTCCGGACAGGTTGATGATAGAGAACTCATGATCCCTGGATTTCAACTGTTCCGCCGAGACAGAGAAAACAGAAGGGGCGGAGGCATAATAACATTTGTTAAGAACGGCTTGCACGTTTCAGAAAAAACTGCCCAACTGACTTGTAGTACCGAAGCATTATGGCTGACCATAAGGGCACCGGGCTCTCAAAGTCTCGATATCTTGGCAGTATATCGCCCCCCGAGAAATGACCCTGACGCTGATGCCCAACTGCTGGAGGAGCTCAGATTATTTTCAACGCGGCCGACCACTCTCATCGTTGGAGATTTTAATGCACCTCACATCGACTGGAGCTCGGACTCAGCCGACTGCTCTGAAGCAGCATTTGACCAGCAGCTACTGCGTACCTCCGACAACCTGCTTCTCACACAACACGTAATGTTTCCAACTAGAGTTCGAGAGGGCCAATAGATGAACTGCCTCGATCTTGTGTTCACCAAGTCGTCTGACAACATCGACGTTGTGAATTGCCTCCCCCCGTTGGGTCAGAGTGACCATGTAGTTCTCATGTGGGAATACACGTTATTCTCACTTCCTACACAACCGCTCGATTCCCGACCTAATATTTGGCGCGGCGATTTCGAAAAGATGAAAAAGGATCTTAGTCCTATCGACTGGGCATCGACTCTCTCCGGCGATGTAGAAGAGGCTTGGTGTAAGTTCAAAGAGTTAGTCCACAACCTCATCTCCAACCACTGTCCAATCATGCGCAAAAGACTAACAAATAGACCTCGCTGGTTGACTCCGTCATTAAAGAAGGAAGTTAACAAGAAGAGAAAGCTATGGAAAAGATCGCTGACGGATCGCACGCCAGAATCCCTAAGCAGTTATAAGTTACAGTGAAATCGGGTCAAAATTCTCATCGCCAGATATAGGAAAGCTTTTGAAAAAAATCTTTTGAACCGTGCCATGATTAATCCAAAAATCCTTTACAGCTACATAAGACAGAGCACACGGAACAAAGATCCTGTCCCACTGCTGCGAACGACTGAGGGTGTGGAAATCTCCGATGACAAGGATAAGGCTGAACATCGTTCTCAGTTCTTCCGGTCAGTCGTGACAAGTGAACCTGCTTTTTCCTCACCCGCTTATGAAGACGATGAAACGCCTACCCTCGAAGCCGTCTTCTTCACCGAAACAATTGTTCGGAACGAGTTACTAAACCTAAAAGAATCGACCTCCCCAGGCCCTGATGCAATCCCGGCCAAGCTGCTGAAGGAACTAGCTTCCGAAATGTCCAAGCCGTAAGCCTTGATCTTTCAAACTTCATTTGTTACTGGATGCCTGCCCTCTGACTGGAAGTCCGCTACCATCACTCCGCTTTTTAAGGGTGGAAGTCGTGCGTCTGCGAATAACTACAGGCCAGTGAGTCTTTCCTCCATCTGTTGCAAAATCATGGAGAAGATCATTAAGAAGGCCTTGGTGCAGTTCCTCGAGCAGCACCATCTCCTTTCTGATGCCCAACACGGCTTTCGAAGTGGTAGGTCCTGCCTCACGAATCTGCTCTTTACGCTCGAACGCTGGACCAAAGCACGTGATGAAGGCAAGGTGGTGCACGCCATCTACATCGACTTCAAAAAGGCTTTCGACAGCGTTAATCATCAACGTCTCCTGTACAAACTGCGCAACGCTGGAATTCGTGGACGCCTTCTTGTATGGATCCAGAGCTTTCTGGCTGGACGGTCCCAGAGAGTGCAGGTCGGGCGTCAACAGTCCTCAGATGTAAGCGTGGTGAGTGGCGTCCCACAGGGCTCAGTCTTAGGTCCCACGTTATTCCTCGTTTTCGTAAATGACTGCGTCAAGGACCTAGACTGTGATGCCATCCTGTTTGCCGACGACATAAAATTGTGGAAAGTTATTCACGATGCGGCAGACGCAGACCACCTGCAAGCAAACTTGAACAGGCTCGAAGACTGGTCGAAGCGCTGGCTTATGCCCTTCAATATAAGCAAGTGTAACTTTCTTCAACTCGGCGGCTTCAGAGCCCCCAGCCCCAGGACCTACTTTCTAAACGGCACACCACTGCAACAGATTGACAGTCAGAAGGATCTGGGTGTATGGATTACATCGTCACTCAAACCAACACTGCACTGCGCGAAGGCGGCTAAATCGGCTACGGCCACATTGCAACTCATTAGGCGAGCATTTATGGGATTTGACCCTGACTGCTTTTCCAAAATATTTGGCACCTTCGTGCGACCTCATCTAGAATACGCCATACAGGCGTGGAGACCCTGGACTGCCAAGGATTATACCGTCTTGGAGAAGGTCCAGAGACGGGCGACCAAAATGACACAAGGTCTGGGAGCACTGCCCTATGAAACCAGACTTTCAATCCTAAACCTGTTTCCCCTTTCCTACAGGCAATTACGTGGTGAGCTTATACTAACATTTCGCATCATCAACGGCCTAGACTGTTGTTTAGATCCCACTGATTATTTCACCCAAGCTAACACGCCCAATTTGCGCGGTCATCCCCTAAAACTACGCGCAGGGAAATCAAGAACCAATGGACGAAAGTCCTTTTTCAGTAACAGAGTGGTTGCAGCCTGGAATGCCCTACCTACCGATGTTGTAACCTCCTCCTGTGTGAACTCCTTCAAGTGTAAACTTGACCTGCATCAAGCTTCCCAATTACCAACCCCACATCCACTCACATAACCCGGTACCATCTTATATGTGTTTATACTACTTGTAATTAGTAAGTAACCATTAATGATTACTCTTTTTCGGCTAGCTGCCAGCTGTCCGCGAGTATGTACAAAATACCTTTTTCACCTTCCCATTTATCAATGTTTTTCTCCGACGACTTGTAACCAAGAGGGAATTCAAAGGCGCTTGCCTATATTTCCCTTAATAAACTGCTACTGATACTGATACTAATACAATCTGTTCCGAAAAAGCCCATTATAATATCCTTACCCTTAAGTGCGACATCTTGAATACCATCAAGCGGCGACTAAAATGTGATATTAAAGGAACTTAAAATTCAGCTGAACTAATTTTCTGCAATCTTACTAAGGCCGTTGAATTTCCACGAGCGAAGGATGCCTGGACATTGCAAGTTACGTCAGATTGTGCTTACTAATTCACATGCACTTATGGATGCAAATACATTGGGCGAACGCAAAGGCAACTGGCAGCCAGATCAGTTGAACACCTGCCTAAATGGCTTCTAAAGGAGAAGAATAGGACTCAACCGTCCTCTATTACGAAACATCTCCTTGATAGTAGTCATTCGGTTGACCCCAAAATGTCTTCTAGAGTATTAATCCAAACACGAACTACTCGGTTATTGCGCTACCAGCAGGCAGCCTTTATGCGGCGCGAGAAACCCGGCCTATGTAAACGGCTAGACCACGTGGTCAACCTTAGCTTGCCCTGGTAGACCTGAGCCTTTTTGATTGTCAAAATCCCTCGGCATGTCTTCTTTCCATTTTCATTCCTTTCTTGCATTTTAAAGTAACCATTTTATCGATAAATCTACGGGCAGAATACCTTGACCTTGCTGTATTACACATATTTTCTCTGTCGAAATTCAAACATCTGTAACTTTCTCACTTGTTATGTCTGCAATGTAAAGACAGGCTGCAATTCAGAAGCCGTCGCGAAATTTTCTGGTAATATTAAATTCCGCCGTCCTTGCTTGCTTTAAATATCTTTTGTATGCTAAGGTCACTGATTATGAGCACGTTCTACCATCATTCTTTGCCTGTTTTCCACTGCAACTATGCGCAGAGTATTCTTTTTCTTGAAGGCAAACATACAGAATCTAATATTAGGTTATATTATCAATGTCCAACAACCTTTACCCAAATGAAGTTCATGATGAAAATGCAGTGTTTTCCCTGTAACCGTGCAGAAGAGGAAGACGAGTATGAGTTTTGTGGGACGGGTATACCACATCTGAAATGCTCCAAGCATTATTAGGTACGGGATATTATCGAAGTCTTTTGTGTGCCAACTGATATCCCTTTGCTTTACAGGATGGCAGCGCAAAGGTATTTATTAAATAATTAGCAGCTACCACTTGTTGTTCTCCATTCCATATAGGCCCGTGAATACTACAGCTGTTTGCCTTTCTGGCTATATCGCTTAGAAGATTCACATTTGTCTTATTATAAAAACGAATGTGTGTTGCCCACATCCGTCGATCATTGGTTTTTACGTTAATGTACGCGTCCAGATTTTGCAACTTAATAGGTTCAAAGTAGTCGCCGGTTGAAAGAAGCACTGCCTGTAATTGAAAAGAAAGTGAGAAATAGTATGATTTAGACACAAGTCACCGAATGCTCACAAAATGGCCATCAACACAAATTTTCGCAACATTTTAGCCTAACCACATAATTAATTGATAGGGAAATTGATGTTGATAGCTGAAAAATACTAAACGGGCTCCGTAGATTTTCACCTATGTCAGGAGCCTGCAAAACACTGAAAGAAAACCAAATGTTCAGAAAATTGGATAGATCGACTAAATAGTTTACCAAAGAGTGGGAAGTACCAAATTTAATCCGAACGGTACGTCTTCCCTAAACACCTTTTGCATTTTTTGACGTAATTATCGGGCACATACCGTTACTAATTATTGAAAGCCGGAATTCTATTAAAGTCTATTTTACTGAGCGTACTAATACCGGAGTTTACTGAATGTGTGCTTTATATAACATTAATATTAAAAGTGTAAACCTAAGGGCGCATTGTTAATGATTGTGAATTTCATTAAAATGACCAAAACTATACTTCGTTTGAAAAAATTTATTCAGATTTTTATTTCAAAAGGACTAATGTATTTTTAATTTTTGAATATTGGATAAGCAAAATAACAAGGAACGTAACTCACCGTGCGAAAAAGAGTAATCTGTAAAACAGCAAATCGGGCTTAACATTGGAAACGTCGACCATCTTTCAACGTCTTTATAAAAGTACAATTGCTAATTGAGTCAGTTTCGATTTTCTCCAGTTGATATTCGCATTTTCTTTCACCAACCGTGATATGGTAGAGAAGTCCTGATTTCCAAGTCAAGAGCCCTTTGACCCTGTCCTCCATTTTTGTTTGTTTGTCAAAATAGGGACATATAGGTCTCTCATGAAAGACTAAAAATATGTCAGTACAGTCTAGAGGCGCACAGAAATGTTGATAAAATCCGAACGTATGAAAGCAGAATTTGACCATCCAAAAAGCAATTAAAAAATACTTAAATCCTACTGGAACCTTAACGTGTTTCTTTACATTGGTCGCTATTCTCTCAATGCACATGCTTACTTAAGCGTAAGGCAAAAGAACTTGTTGTCTGTTTCTAGTAACGAAACAAATGCAAGTAAAAGTAGATTTGCTGTCTCCTATCCTATGCAAACCATCATTTATTTGGTCAGTGTTCGTGCATTAAATACATGTAGCATGCAGTTTATAATCCTCACATCGACAAGTAAGTGCACTTGTAACGAAAAACGTCAGGATAAGAAAGTGGGCCATTATGTATTTTGGTCTTCCTGCTTGCGCATGTGTGTGAACGTGAAGACAAAGAAAGACGTCTTATCGACAACGTCAGCCAATAGCCTTGCAAGTTTTAGTGTTGTGGGTGTTCAAATCAGTGACTGGCTATCTAGACAATTACGTTAACGAAACACAATGAGGTCAATAATTTCACTTATCGCAGTGCATATTCTGTATTCCTCAGATAAGAATGACAATTAATTCAGGCCTCAATCAAGGAACGATACCTTTTGTTTCTTTAACCTCTTTATGAAATACACGAATACGTAATGACAGAAATACACAGTAGACAATATTAAAGCAATAACTTTCAAAGGGACAAAACAGTAACATTCAGTTTTATCGAAGTTCTGCTGGTGTGTAGGAAGTCCTGATGGCCGTTTAAATCTGATTCACCAAATAAACGTTTGTATGCTTTTAATGAATGCGGATAGAAACGGGTTACTTATTCGAAAATGCTGCTTTGTTTGAAAACAGTATAGGTAGTTTCCAGTCTGTTGCGTTGCTTAAATAATCTGCCGACTGTTGTTCTAAGAATAAGGATCACGCCATTGCCCATTTCCAGCGTGGAAAGTTGCTGCATATCCCAAAATTTTGATTAATTTAAGAGAAGCATGCGTACATTTACTTCAATGAGTGGTTTTTATGATGTTTTCATGTACAACAGGTGGGCTTTTTCATGTATTGTCAACGGAAGTTGCGAGATGCCTTTTGTTTTGAAAAGATTCATTTAGTAGAGTTGTAAAACTGATTATCATACAGCATAATACTCTCCTAATTACAGTGAGTGACCGATCTCATGAAATGTTGGCTAAAATTCTGAAATGCCTTTTTAATTAGGAAGGATTACTTGGCCGCAGTTAAAATACTGACTGTCTTGCGGCATACTCTTATAACATTTCGGACTTGGTTGGATGTCGGCTTTTAAATGTACTTCTTTCCTATCTTCTGTAGAAGGCGTGCTCGTTAAATTGACTACTTAAGTAGGATGGATTTTCCTATTGATTTTCGATGGTCTTGCAAATTTTAATATATGTTATAGAAACCGCGAATAAAAATATGCTTTCTTTTAGTCAATCAATAGAAAATCACGTCTTCTTTATATTTTATACTTAAGAAAGGAGAATAATCAGATTTTAAAACAGTTTACTTATTATCGAATAATTTGGAGCATGATCATTTGTTGCATTAGCGCCTAATAATTTAAGTGTACAAGGTGCATGCGTAAAGAAAATCACATATTTGTTTATGCCATTAAAGAGATGTCATAAAGAGTCCTTACAAAGTGCAATGGATGTGGACCATGTTGTTCATTTCATAAGGAGCATGGTATACGGTCATGTACAATGCTATGTGAATTGGCATTTCGCGCTCTAATATAGTCTCATAGTTAGAAACTTTTTAAAACCTAATTATACTCCTTTCTTAAGTATGAATTATAAAGAAGATGTGATTCTCTATTGGTTAACTAAAAGAAAGCATATTTTTGTTCGTGGTTTCTATAAAATATATTTGAATTGCCAAGACCAATAAAAATCAATGGGAAAAATGCATGTTATTTAAGCAGTCATTTTTTAACGAGTACGTTTTCTTTAGGAGATTGAAAAGAATCGCATTAAAAAGCCGACATTCTACGAAGTTCGAAATATTATAAAGGTATGCCGAACGATAATCAATATTTTAACCGCGACCAAGTAATCCTTCCTAATCGAAAACGCATTTCAGAATTTCAGCTAATATTTCCTGAAATAGGTTACTCACTGTAGGTTACCTCAGAATGACGGCTTTTGAACGTACATCCCTCCGCCTAAGAGCAAAACCTTTACCCCACAAAATTACGGCTTATGCAACATACATTTTTCTCATTGATTTTCGTCGCCCTTACAGTACAATATATATAACCATTCTTTTACCCGTGTGGTAGAAACTGACGTCTTCTTTCATTTGTATCCTCAAAGGAAGAATATAATTCGTTTTTCGAAACTTTTACAATTCCCGACGAATATTGGGCGTAACAGGTCGTTGCATGTTTATTTGGGGTTTCCAAAATACAAGCCCGACGTTTTTGAAGTACAAGTCTATACGGTATTAAGATGAGACAGTATAGGCTTCGTAAAATACAGCATTGGAATCGAGCCATATTGTTGACTGTACAAGCCGCATA